CGCCGTAGCGGTATCTTCAGCGCAGCAGGTAAGTAACCAATCTTGTATCACTCATCTCTCTCTCTCGTGGTCTCCTTGTTGCAGGTGCGCGGCTTCTCCTTCCACCTCGAGGTCCGCTATGGCGGACTACCTCCTCCGGCGGCACCTCAGCTATGGCCGATCGGCCCTGCACACATCGCGCGCATGGAACAGCGGGTACCTGCTCCGATACCAGTGCATTCACACTCCGATTATTCACACTTGTCTTGCATGCAAACAGCGATACAGCAACTGGCGACATGCGCCCTGACAGTACTTAAGATATCGTAACCAGATATGAGTTCTCTTCAACTGGCTATGACGACTGGGCGCCCACACAACTCACTGTTCGCACTCCGGATCACCCTGGATGTCCCACACGCAASACTCAGTATCATACGCAACACACACACACGCTATGCTACAGCTATGGCAGCGCTAGCTGCCACTACCTATCGCTACACTACACTTCTCTGCCCACTTCGTCTTCAGGCACACTGCAGACCTCCTCGCACAAGCTGCTAAGGCAGCGCTTCTGCATGGCATCCGCAGGAATGAATGAATGGTTGGACGCAGTCTCTTGATTTATACTTCTGCGCTGCGTTGGTCTGCCCTGTATCCCTGGCCCATGGTGCACACAGTCCCCCCCGTGGTACTTGCTGGACCGGACTGGTACTTTCTAGACTCTCCCATGACTGCTTGGCGACTACCCTACGACGCAGTGCAGTTGCACTAGGGTCCTACTATTTGCCCTTGCCACTTGTCCTCGTCTCCAACATGGGCTTGCTTTAGTCACACCACTTGCCCACTTGCCTGCACCACTTGACCACTTGCCAACCTTCTAGAAGGACTGCAGTTAGCCTTCTAATCTACAGGTCTACGGATCGAATCCTGGCTACCTATAGACCTACGACAGACCTACCAACCACTGGCGGTTCTACAGGTCGCAGGTTCAACTCTTCGAGTTGACGCAGGTATTGTACACAGGTAAGTTGGGGAGCTAGGGATCGAGCCCTGGGATCTGCCTCAGCTACCACGAATTGGTGAATACCGTTTCACTTCAAAGTATATTCTGACCATGAGACACTTTGATGGTTAAAGACCCAGGCCAAAAT